GATAGACATGGGGAGTATCTTGCTAAGTGAAATGAGTCAGAGAGGACAGACACAGAAGGACTGCACTCATTTTGGAGTATAAAATAACATAACATGAGACTGACACCCAAGGACAGTAGACACAAGGGCCAGGAAGATTGCCCCATAGTTGGAAGTCTACCTCATGAGCTGGGGGAGAAGGCAGCTGGAATAGAGAAGGGATCACTAAGACAATGATGGTTGGAGGAATTGGTCAGGATGGGAGATGTGTGCTGAAAGTAGATAAAGGACCAAACATGATGGCCTCTCAGTATCTGTATTGCAAACCATAATGCCCAAAAGTAAAGAAAGAGTCTGGGGGAAATTGTCTGCCATGGAGGCAGTGGGAGGGTAGGAAAGGGGGTGTATACTGGGGATATTGGTGGTGGAAAACGTGCACTGTGGAGGGATGGGTGTTTGATCATTGTGTGATTATAACTCAAACATGAAAGTTTGTAATGTCTCACAGTGATTCAATAAAATAAAATAAAAAAATAAAAAATAAAAAAGTTGGAGCAAAAAAAAAAAAGTGGCCATTGCTATCCAAAAACATGGAATCACTGTGATTTACAAAGTTATTTATGATTAAGTTTCAGGAGTACAAAATTCCAACAGCAGTCCCTTCCCTGAGTAAATGTCCCTGTTACCCACCCACCCTCCAACTAGCCTCAAAGTGACAGGCACTTCCCCTCCCTCACTGTCCTGGTGTTTCCCTTCCTAATTTAACCACTTCCACCCCTACCCCAACGCCAAACTTTCCACTGAAGACCAGTTCTGCTCTTCATCTCTGTTGCCTTCAAGCACTTGTTATTCTCCTACTATGTTTCTTTGCATCCAGTGTATGAGAGATCATTCTGAACCTGTTCTTTTCCCCTGACTGAATTCACTTAACACGACACTCTCCAGGTCCATCTATGTAGCAGTCAATTGTATGACTTCATCTTTTCCTATGGCCAAGTAGTATTCCATTGTGTATATATGCCATAGTTTCTTTATCCAGACGTTGGTTCTTGGGCATCTGAGCTGTTAAAATAGGAGCCAGTTTAACGGAAAAGGGGAAATACTTATACAAAGGAAACTACAAAACTCTACTTAAAGAAATGAAAGAGGACACAGGAAATGTAAACATGTCCCCTACTCAAGGATTCAGAGGATTTACATTGATTGTCAAATGGCAATATTCCCCCAAACATTATACAGATAAAATGCAGTCCCTATAAGAATACCCATGATACTTTTCAAAGAAATATATCAAAACACTCCCAAAATTCATACGGAATAATAACCACCCCTTCCTCCTAAACAGCTAAAACAATCTTCAGGAAAAATGAAGTACCTTCAATCTGTACTACAAAGTAGTAGTAATTAAAACAGCATGTCACTAGAATAAAAATAGGCCCTCTGATCAAAGAAATAGAACTGAAATTCTAGATACAGACTCTCAGGTATATAGTCAGTTAATCTTCTATAAAGGAGCAAACATTATGAAATGGAACAAAGAAAGTTTCTTCAACAGGTGGTGTTGGAAAAACTGAATGGCCACATGCAAAAGAAAAATGAACTCAGACCACTTCCTAGTGTCATGCACAAAAGTCAAATTAAAATGGAATAAAGACCTTTAAGGTGATTAAGGTCTTTAAGCATCTTTAAGGTGATTAAGTTACCTTAATAACCCTTAAGGTAACTGACCAAACAAGCAGAAGCAAAGATAAGCAAATGGGGCCAATTAAATTAGAAGCTTCTGCACCTCAAAAAGGATGATGACCAGAATACAAAGACAGCCCACAGTCTGGAAGAAAATTATTTACCCACCATTCATCTGTTAAAGGGTTAATTTTTTTTTTCTTTTTGGGTCACACCTGGCAATGCTCAGGGGTCATTCCTGGCTCTGCACTCAGGAGTCACTCCTGGAGGTGTTGGGGGGGACAATATGGGATGCTGAGAATCAAACCCGGGTTGGCCGCGTGCAAGGCAAGCACCCTATCCGCTGTACTATCGCTCCAGCCCCTAAAGGGTTAATATTTAAGATACATATAAAGCTCTGGTAGAACTTTACAAGATAAAAGAATGCAACCGCATCAAAAATTGGGGAGAAGAGGGGCTGGAGTGATAGCACAGTGGGTTGGGCATTTGCCTTGCACACGGCCGACCCAGGTTCGATTCCCAGCATCCGATATGGTCCCCTGAGCTACCGCTGGGAGTAATTCCTGAGTGCAGAGCCAGGAGTAACCTCTGTGCATCGCCGAGTGTGACCCAAAAAACAAAAAACAAAAGAAAAAAAATGGGGAGAAGAGATGAACGGAGAGTTCCTCAAAGAAGAAACACAGATGGCCAAAAGACACATGAAAAAATTCTCAGCACACTAATCACTGAGAAAATGCAAATCAATAACAAGGTATCACCTCACACTAGAGAGGCTGGCACTTACCAAAAGGAATACCAACAACTAATGTTGGTGTGGATGTGGGGAAAAGGGAGCCTCAGTCACTGCTGCTGGGAACGTTGGCTCATTCCTCAAAAAACTAGGAACTGAACCTTCATGTGACCCAGTAACACCACTCCTTGGACTATACCCCAAGGGCTCAAAATTACAATGCAGAGAGGATATTCACACTCCATGTTCATCTCAGCAGTATTCACAATAGATTCAGGAAACATCCCAAGTACTCTGGCCTTTTTAAGGCAACTGTTTGCCTGTACTATTGTTTTCCAAGCTTCGAGTTTAGGTTGTGTTCATTCCGGATGTTCAGATGTGTCTCGAGTCAGCAGCAGGAGTTGGGTTTAGTTTCTGATCCGTCCTGCTACTCTGCCTCTTAATTGGTGAACTCAGGTCACTGACGTTGAGTGGGCTTAGAAAGTGGTGGGTTTCTGTGAGAGCCCCCATTGTGTTAGCTATGCTGACGGTGATTCTTTATAGTTCGCCCCGTTGGTGCTCTCTGAGTGTTCTCTTTCTCTCTGTTTCTGGTTTGTGATTTTGAGGCTAGAAGTGGATTATAGGGTTACTTTTTTTTTTTAAACCCTGCCTCTTCTCTTACGGTTTTGCAGCCTGAGGAGTAGGAGCAGGACTGTCTCATGGCCACATGAGTAACTGACCATTCGGGTATAAGCAACAGTGAGTGCAGTTATAGACACCGAATGTGAATGTGGGCATGCGGGTACAGCAGAGGTCGGGCGTGGGAACTGCCAGGCTTAGGAGGAAGGGCAGGGGGGAAGGGGATTATTATAGCACAGTGATTGGTGCATATTGTCATGACTGTGACTATAATGACTCTGAACTCGCATACCCTGAGATGTGATTTTATCTGTTTTCTTTCTTCTATTAATCTGATTTCACATATTTTCTCTTTTCTTTTTTTTTTTACTCTCTTTTCTTTATAGAGGGTGATGGGCAGCTTCCCAGAGGTGCTGGGGGCCACTAGAGCTACATTTGCTGGTGCTAGGGAGGCCATGGACCTTAGAGGATTGAGCCCCAAACCCCATTGAAATATTTTTTTTCCAGGGGTTGGAGCGATAACACAATGGGGAGGGCATTTGCCTTGCACGCAGCTGACCTGGGTTCGATTCCCAGCATCCCATATGGTCCCCGGAGCACCTCTAGGGGTAATTCCTGAGTGCAGAGCTAGGAGTAACCCCTGTGCATTGCCGGGTGTGACCCAAAAAGCAAAAAAAGGAAATATTTTTTTCCAGTAGCTACATATCTTCCTTCCCGCCGTCCTACTATGCCCCCACACACCTCACTGAGCACTGTGCTTTCCTGCCCTCTGAGCAGCGGGGCTGGACTTGTCAGCTGTGCGGCATCCACGCTCTTCCTGGCTCCTCGTGGCTTCTCCTGGTATGGGAGTCCTGCTCTGTCACCCTCAGGGTGTGCCCTCCAGGCTCCGGGACCCTCAGAATTGTGCTCAGGACTCAGTTCTGAGGTCCGAGGAACTCGCAGATCTGAATGTGCTGCAGCAGTGCTCGAGCTCACGTACATGACAGTCTGGGTTTGACCCTCTGCCCTGAAAAAAAAAAAAATTCCTTCCCTAAGTCAATGGTGTTAGGAAATGTTTAGAGATGTTGGGGCGGGGCGGGGGTGCTGTCTTCCCCCAGCTGTGTGACCTTAGACCGGTAGTTCCTCTGGGTTTCCTTCCAGCTGTCAACATTCCTGCCTACCTTGCCAGAGGTCAAAGGTCAAAACCAATAATGGCTGTTTTTTTTTTTTCTTTTTGGGTCATATCCAGCAATGCACAGGGGTTACTCCTGCTCATGCACTCAGGAAATACTCCTGGCGGTGCTCAGGGGACCATATGGGATGCCGGGAATCGAACCAGAGTGGACCACAGCAAGGCAAGCGCCCTCCCTGCTGTGCTATTGCTCCAGCCCCCAAGAATGGCTGTATTGCCTCATGCCAAGGGCTGCTACTGCAGGGAGGGGTGACGCGGAGGCTCAGAGACGCTGGCAGGGGACAGTGCAGAGCTGACCAAGTCCAGTCTTGGGCACATCATAGTCCAGGCACCCTTGACAGCATCACAGAAGTTTCGAGAAACCCCAGGTCCCACGCGTGTCCCTGCCTGCCCCTGACTGTGAAAGCCGCCTTGGGCCTTGTTGGGGGGTGGGGGGGGGTCACTGCTCAGCTGCACCAAGGCCCTGCAGAGGACGGGGCCTCCTGCAGCTGCAAGCGGATAAAGAGCTATTGTCAGCGGGGGCTCCGCGGGAGCGGGGAGGAGACCCCTGGGGTCCTGCAGCTGCAGTGCCGCGGGGGCTCCATCAGGACTCTGTGCAAGGAGTGGACCCCCGTTTTTCAGATGAAGCTGGGACGGTCCTCCCAGGACGGGCAGAGCTGGACCTTGGGGCACGGCCAGGGCTCTGCACTAGTCGCTGTGCTCCGGGCAGCCCCAGGAGCCGTGAGCGACTGGGTCTGGGCGCTGGGGACAAGCTCTCCTTTCCTTCCTCTCAACAACACCTTTGGGGGGTGGGACATAGGCTTTCCCGCACCCCGGGAGATGCACCGCAGCCGGTGCAGGGCTGCACTCCAGCCTCAGACTCCTCTCCTGACCCTCAGCACGTCCTACCTGGGCTTTAGTCCTCTCGGCCCTCGGCTCCTGCGCGCTCTTCGCGGGCAGCTGGCTTTGCAGCGGGGCGGAGAGGAAGCGCCCCGAGACCCTCTCCGGGGGAAGGCGCACCCCTCGGGCAGGGCGCTCGGGCAGCAGAGGCCGAGTCGGGGTCCCGCAGACCCAGCAACTCCGCAGGCGGCGCTCAGCCCGGTCGGGCTCAAGCCGGGGTCCCCGGCAGGGGGCGCCCCAAGTCCCGCCCGGGAGCTCCGGGAGCCTCCGGCCAGCTCCTGGGACGGTCCCGCGCTCCGCCCCTCGGTTCCCCGGGCGGAGCACCCCGGGCCGCGCAGCGGGACCAGCACCCGGGCAGAGCACCCCCCGGGACCGAGCACCCCGGGAGGAGCACCCCGGGCCGCGCAGCCGGGACCAAGCACACCGGGACCAGCACCCCGGGCAGAGCACCCCCGGGACCGAGTACCCCGGGCAGAGCACCCCGGGTCGCGCAACGGGACCGAACACCCCGGGACCAGCACCCCGGGCAGAGCACCCCGGGCGGAGTACCCCGCGCGCTCCGTGCCGTCCCCCGCAGCTCCAGTGAGTAGCGCCCGCGGCCGGGCTGGGCGGGCTGCGGCGCGGGGTCCGGCGGGGTCGGGGGCGCGGGGACCGCGGCCGGAGCGGCCGGGACGGAGGGGCAGGGTGCGGAGGGGCAGGGCGCGCAGTGGGCAGGGGCCCCGCGGGAGAGGCGGCGGGGAGGCCGGGGACTCGCCGCGCTCCGAGCTGTCCCGAGGGCGCCCAGGAGTTCCCCGGGCCCGGCGGCCGCTCCTGCCTGTCCCCGCGGGGTCCCGCCGGGGGCGGGGGTGGGGGCCGCCGCCCTGCGGTCACTTTCTTGGTGAGCCGGGGCAGGAGCCCGCGGGGGCGTCCCCGCGGGTGGGCATCCGCCTTGGTGGGCCGAGCGGGACCCCCGAAATCCCGCACCCCGTTTGGTCCCCGGGACTCCCCGGGAAGGGTCCCCGTGCAGGAGCGGACCCTGTGGCCCCCGAACCAAACGGAAAAGGGTAAGTGAGTAAGGAAAAGGGCCTTGCGGATGGAGGGGCTGCGGGGGACGCTTAGCCGGTGGGTGAGGGTGAGGGTGAGGGTAGGGCTTGGGTTGAGTGTGTCGGGGTGGGGGTGAGTTTGTGGTGTGACCGTGAGTGTGGGTGTGAGTGTGTGAGTGTAGGTGTGAGTGGGGGGTGAGTGTGGCTGTGAGTGTGGGTGTGAGTGGGGGATGAATGTGGCTGGGTGTGGGTGTGAGTTGGGTGTGAGTGGGAGTGTGGGTGTGAGTGGGGGGGTGAGTGTGGGTGTGAGTGGGGGATGAGTGGGGGGTGAGTGTGGGTGTGAGTGTGGATGTGAGTGTGGGTGTGAGTGTGGGTGTGAGTGTGGGTGTGGGGGTGAGTGTGGGTGTGGGTGTGCGTGTGAGTGTGGGTGTGAGTTGGGGGGTGAGTGTGGGTGTAAGTGTGGGTGTGAGTGTGGTGTGATGTGGGTGTGTGACTGTGAGTGTGGCTGTGAGTGTGGCTGTGATTGTGGATTTGAGTGGGGGCGGGAATGTGGAGGGCCCCAGGTGAGGGCAGAGAGTGAGTCCAGGGCCCAGGAGTTGCTGCAGTGGTGGCCTGGCCTGGCCCCGGTGTCTCTGAGTCTCAGCCATGGGGTAGACGCCGCTGAGACCACCCCGTGGTGCCCCCCCCCCCCCCACCAGCCCAAACGCAGCCCAAGCTCTTGGTCCCCCTCCAGGAATTCCTTTTCATTTCTAGCTTTTGTTTCTGGGGCTGCTCCCACAGGGCCTGTGCCCACCCACCAGGCTCCAGGCTATGTTCTGAACCGGCAAGAGGCAAATCCACCTTTGGGAGAGGCATCCGAGGGAGCTGTACGGTGTGTGTGTGTGTGGGGTGGGCGGGGGTGTTTTGCCTCTGGCATAGCTGAGCATGGAGGCTGAGGCTCTAACTTTAGATGGTCAGCATTTATGGAGCACCACCTGTATACCAGTGACTGCAGGGACAGCAGTGAGTCACCACTGCCCCCTCAGGCCCGCGGGAGGGGAGGGTCTTGACGTGCTGGGATCACACAGGGAGTACCTAATGCGCCTCACATGTTATCTTGTTTGGCTCATGGAGTTAATATCAGATTCATTTTAAGAGGGGCCAGGCTTCAAGTGCTTTGCCCATTAATACGGCCCTGAGAGTTTCCCATTGAGGCCCTTGGGTGGGTGCTGAGACCCTGGAGTGCCTGGGGGCCACTCCAGCAGAACTTGAAGGGGGGGGGGTCATGCCATGCTGGGGCCTGACCTCTGAGCCTTGTGCGTACAGGGCACTGCCACTGAAGCCACACCGGGCCACTATTGTGTGAATGACTGTGTGAGGGTTAAGTGGCTGTCAGGGAGGTAGTCCAAGTGGCAGAGCAGGTGCTTTGCACCTGTAGGACCCCGGGTGTGGCGTACTCCCTTTCTCCCACATTCCACACTGGGTGTCCCCTCAACAATCAAGAACAATCAGTAAGTGTACAGCCTGAGTATCCGGGTGGCCACCACCCAGGGTCAAAAACTGCATTGCCATGGCTGGAGCGATGGTACAGTGGTTAGGGGGTTTGCCTTGCACACGGCCGACCCGGGTTCGATTCCCAGTATCCCATATGGTCTCCTGAGCACCGCCAGGAGTAATTCCTGAGTGCAGGGCCAGGAGTAACCCCTGTGCATCGCTGGGTGTGACCCCCCACCCCCCCAAAAAAAACCCTGCATTGCCAACAGCCAGACTTATTCTCCCCGGCCCCTTCCAGAAGCAGCCCTGTCCCTGCTGCCCCGTGACGGTTTTTCTGATCCCAGCACCCTGACCTACCGGGGGAACCACACAGCACACGCTGCTCCCTGCCTGGCTTCCTTCACTCCACATTGTGCTTCTGAGTTTCACCCTCTCAGTGGTAGGACTCCTGATCCTTCCCGCGTGCCACTCCTCATCTGAGGGCCACTCTGTGGCTCCATCCTCAGGGATCACTGCCAGAGCCGCGGTGAGTGTCCCGAGGTGGCCAGCTGTAGGAAACACCTGCCGGTGTTTCTCGGCGAGGCTCCCGGGATAGGGCAGCAGTTTCCGGCTGCCTGGAGCATGTGTCTTCGGATTGTCCTGCAGATACTGCACACTGTGTCTGGGTTCGCTTTCTGTGTGAGTTATTAGAAGTTCAGGACAGTCCTGTGCTTGGAGTTGTTGCTGGATGGCAGATGGTTTGAGTGGGCTCTCTGTTGTCCCCCAGATGAGATAGGGACAGTGATTGTTCTGAGCGGACCAGGAGAACACAGGGAGTACACCATGTGCTCCCCCAACACTACCGAGTGTAGCCCCGGGGGCCCTAAGTGGTGCTGTGTGTAGCTGAAGAGGCTCCGACCCTCCCCCAGAGCCTGCTCGAGCACCCCAACACCTGAAATATAAGGATCCATAGTGAGTCCAGCTCTAAGCATGGAAATGTATAAAGAACATTGCCTGGGCAGTTAAAGAGGCAGGATTCTATTTTATTTTCATTCATTTTTTTTTTTTTGCTTTTTTTGGGTCACACCCGGCAATGCACAGGGGTTACTCCTGGCTCTGCTCTCAGGAGTTACTCAGGGGACCATATGGGATGCTGGGAATCGAACCTGGGTCAGCCGCGTGCAAGGCAAACACCCTACCACTGTGCTATCTCTCCAGCCCATCATTCATTTATTTTTTTGTGTGTCTGAGCCACACCCACTGGTGCTTGGGCACTTCTCCTGATTTTGTGCTGGGGTATACTCCCGGTGGCATTGGGGACCCCTGTGCATGTGCATGTCTCTGACGGGGGGAGGGGGAGTTGCTGGATTTTGGTTGTCTGTTTTTGGACCACACCCACAGTCCTCGGGGCTCACTCTTGGCCTGGTGTTCAGGTGTCACTCCTGGTGGGGTTTGGAGGGCTGTCTGGGGTGCTGGGGATGGAACCTGGTTCAGTCCAGGGCAAGGCAAATGCCCTCTCCGCTGGTCTCAAATGGAGGGAGGTAGGTACTGGGACACCAGTCTGTCCACATCTATCTCTGCCAGGCCTTACAGGAAGGAACAGTTTTGCTGGTGGCTTCTGCAGCTGCCTCCTATGGAGAAGGGCTGGGCTGGGTCAGGGGAAGGGTTTGGAGGCAGGAAGGCCCATGTGATGCCACCCAGGGGAGGGAGTAGGGCTGCAAGGTGAGCAGGGGTGAGAGTGAGGACCCCTCACTCGGAAAGTGGGTTCCCAGACAGGGTGTATTGGTTTGCTGGGGACTGAGGCTTCCTCCGGCCCAGCTCAGCTCCTGCTGACACAGGCCCGGTCTCTGCAGGGAGGGTCTGAGCTGGCCCAGCTGTTCCCAGCACATCTGGCTGCCCCCAGCTGTGTGATGTGAGGAGGCCCATCCTCAGGGCACAAACCAATCAGGGCTCTTTGGAAAGGTGTGTTTGTCTGTTTGTTTGTTTGTTTGTGGGCCACACCTGGCTATGTGTAGGGGTCAGTCCTGGCTCTGTGCTTAGACATCATTCCTGGTGATGCTTGGGGGAATCACCTGGATGCCGGTGATCCATCCTATGCTGGCATGTGCGTGGCTAGTGCCCTGCCTGCTGTGTTATTGCTCTGG